ATATAAAACTTGGTTTGCTTAAAAAACTCATTTTTTTAGTGAATAACAAAGCATGTAAATGAATGAGAACTGTACTCAATTCATGTTTACCTTTCCTTTCCTTACGTTTAAACTTATATTTTTTAACAATTAAATTAAGAATTTTTTATACAAGAATACAGCAGGAAACTGTAAATATATACGAATTGGATAAGGACCGAAAAGAAGGTTTAATATAAAAAAAAATAACTATAATAACTAGACATATGTGAACTAAGATATATTGATGCTAGTCACGAATTGCTTTCATATCAAAATATGAGGTCTCTATTAAAGAGAATGTACAGAACCACACCTACAGCTAGAAACTACTGCAACGTCTGGTATTCAACACTTGTTCGATATAATCAGGAATGATTTTTCCACTTTTTCCCTTTATTTTTTTATTTTACAAGACGTTCATGTTGTTTCCTCTTCACAATTTTACCAGAAAGCATTACTACAAGAAAATCTAATTAAATCTTTTTACCCTGGAGATTGTTTATAACAAAATTCGAAGCTCAATTCTAACAAATATTATTAACTAGAGACTATTTTCTAGTAATTGTTTGTAATTTTTCTGTATTGGCCACGTATAGATCCCATGATAATTTTTGTTTTCTTCATTTTCTACAAACTATAAGAATTAACATTTTTATGGAAATTTATATTCTCGTTTATTCAATGTTTTTTTTAAAAAAATATTTTTAATTTAATAATCGAGTTTAGAAAATTGTTGTTATAAACTATANATTGATAGTAACGTGATTACAATATCAATAAATATTTAACTTTTTAACCTGATTTTAATCACTGATTACATATTTTGTCTTTAAAGTGGAAAATTTTCCAATTACATAACATTAAATGTAAGTTAGATGTAGTCGTTATGTTGTATATTGGTAATTCAGAAGAGAAATCAAATAGGAAAGATAGTAAATATAAATCAATTTTATCTTTAAATACCGATGAAACAGTTTAGTAAAGCAGTTTCGAGCAATGTTTGAAAGGGCATTGCATATTATTACTATATTCACGAATGTTATTGAGGTCATCATAAATCAACATATCCATAGAAAGTAATTTGGAGTAAATATTTATTCGTTATAGTGTCTAATATTTTGATTTTTTTTGATCAAGTTTTCATTGTTTTATCTTAATTAACATGTTTTAATTTTCATTATTATATCTTTAAAATATAAAATAATTCTATTCCACAATGAAACAGATCCATTTTATTTCAAATCTTTTTATTCACGTGTTAAAAAAAACAATTATCCATTTATTCACGTGTTAAAAAATAACAATTATCCATTTATTCACGTGTTACAAAAACAATCACTTTCAATGAAATAGATTATTTATTTCAAAACACGTGAATATTTATTGTTTAAAAAAAATACTATTTCATTTTCAGTTAAAATTTATATGTTTTAAACAATATTTCATTTCTATATTGTTACATTTTAATAAAATTTCATTGTTATAATTTAATTAAGTATCCATTTCAACAATAACACATTGTTAAGTTGTATTCACTTTTATTAGTAATTGTATCTTTAAATAGAGATTCTTGGAAGATCTTAAAGATAATTTATGAAAATATAACAATAAAACGAAATAAAAAACAAAAAGGGAGAAGATATAACAATTAAAACTCGAAAAGAAAAGGAATTTTTAAGATTTTTATCATTCATTTATGTACTTTTAAATATTCATTTCTATAATAAAATATTGTTAAAAATTATTATTATGTTAAATAAATTTACACATTAAATTAAATAATTTTGTTTTTTTTTAAATGTGTGTTATTTTGATAATTATACTAAAATATTGCACAAATATATATATATATATAGCAATTTCAGCATTTTACTAATTAAAATAAATTAAACTTAACTTAAAATTCTGATTAATAATTATAAAAGTAAATTATTTTTAATGAAAAAAACTTGTTAAATTTTTTAAAACTTATTTAAAATTTTGTTTATTTTTTACGTTAAATGAAGTATACAATTACAACTCTAGTAATTCTAAAGAAATAAGGAAGAAGAAGAAGAAGAAAGAAAGAATTACAAAGGTGAGAAAAATAATTTTCTGTGAAAGAAAATATAAGGAAAAAAAAAGGTACAGAAAATAGTTGTAAGAACTTTTATACCTGTAATCTAAAGTCAAACGTTAACTATCTTAATTGCAAAAATTCACATTAAATGGAGGAAGTGCTCCATTATCTAGATCTAGGGGCGATAGCAGATACAATTCTGTTCGAAAGAGAATTTTTCGTTTCGTGTCAGACGTGGTAAAAGTATCGTGACAAGATAGAATCGATAAATTTAATTTTTATTGGAATTTCTTTATAATAAAATTTTAACCTCCTTAGGTATCTATTAAGTTTAAAATATATATAGGGGTNCATATTTCCTATTCTATTGATGATCAGTGGAAACATTTCTGATTGATGTTTTCTACTACTACCAAGTTATCTAACAATACAAGAAAACTGGTCATTCTTAAATTCTTCTCATGTCAGTCATATATAAAAGTCTTTCATTAAATTCTGGTATAAACTACAATCACCTTTATCTTATCATCAGACTTTTCATTAACTGAACGAGACGTCAGAACTTAATCATTCTAAAGAACTTTAGTTATATTTAAAGGCAATAAAAGAAGTTATTTTTTTTAATTATTTAACTACTAAAAAAACGTATCAAAATATCTATTATGTTGCATTATAGAAATTTCCTGGCAATTACTTCGTATTATTCTTTAATGTTTATATATAAATAATATGTAGAATTTAAAGGATTTTATTTTATAATAAAACTATAAACATTTTCATATTGTGAATGTTTAGAAAGGGAAAACGAATTCTTTGTCTTGAAAGAATGTCAAATAATACTTTGAATAGGAACACTTACAAGTTAGATGTGACTCGAATCGAAAAGTTTAGTAAATATACAATGCTGAAAACAATGTGATTTTGACTGGTTTTTTCTACATCATGATCATTTAAACGTTTCCTGATAGAAATCTTGATAGGAACAATGTTAAATTCTTTAGTTTCCAAGAGAATAAAACTAATATTTGACATTTTATTACTATTATTCAAAGTTAAAATTAAATACTCTCATTTTTAAAAAAAATCCTGTAAATCTTTAGTGATTTTACTTGCTTAAACTAAAATTTAATAGAATAAAATTTAATAAATCGAGACTTTTTTTAAGTACAAAACATGCGAAATGTTTTTAATTTTTATATTTCTTGTATTTTGACTTTTATATAAAAATAATAATTTCATAGTAGATAAATTAATTTACATAAAACAAATACTTCTAAAGATAGAAAATATAGTAAAATGATGAATATATTTAATAAATTAATGAATAAAAATAATTATTTTATAAACTTACATGAAATAATTGCTACAATTTTTTTTTATAATTGATCGATCAAATTAAATCTATAAGGTTTCAGATTGTCCGACTTAGTTTGAATAAACGGCTGGGGTTAGAAGTATAGTTTAGGTATCAAATTAAAGCTCTTATTCGGTAAATAATGC